TATCTATTCTAGACCTAGCTTACCCTATAGCTAGTTTACCCTATACTGGAGGTCTTAACCTTTTAAAAATATAAAAAGTAGAACTTAAAATAAATACTTTAAACTTTATAATTAATATATAAATCAGCTAAAGAAATAATAATAGAGTATTATACTATATAGTATTCTTTTTAAAAAAACTATATAGTATAGAACTTAACTACCCTATCTATAATAAGGAATTTATAGCTATTATATATATATTTAAAGAATTTAAATACTACTACTTAGGAATAATATATAAGGTTAAAGTATATATAGATTATAAGAATATTTAGTACTTTATAATAATCTAATAACTAAATAGAAAATAAATATACTATACTAAATATCTATCTTAATTTAACTATAAAATAATATACTAAAAAGAATTAGAAAATAGAAGAACTAATACTCTTAGCTAGAAATCAGAATATAAGAAAGTAGTACTAAGAACTAATAGATAGCTATTCTTAACTAATAATAAAAAATACTTAGTATAGAAAACCCTAGAAGCTATATTTAAGGAAATAGTATATACTAAAGTCTAGATAGAGGCTATTTCTAGCTTAGAAAAGTTATAATAAGATACTAGGATAATACTTATTAAGAAAATCTATAAATATCTGCTCTTAGAATACTAAGGAGTTAAGAAGATATTTAATAGGATTAGATAATATTATAATTATCTAGATCTAAGAAAGGATATATAGACTATAGTTTTAGAATATAATACTTATATAAAAATTAAGTCTATATAATATAAACCCTATAGAGAACTTAAACTAGTTTTAGTACTAGAATAACTATAGTAATTAGTATTCTTTAATTATATTATTAAACTACTACTATCTAAGAAACTAATAACTAGAGTAGAATATAATAATATATTAGTAGTTATTAATAGATTTATAAAGTATAGATATTTTATTCTATATAAGAAAATAAGCTCTATAGAAGATCTTATATATTAGTTTCTATAATATATAGTTAGTTACTATAGATTATCTAATAAAATAATATTAGATAGAGAAATAATATTTATCTCTAAGTTCTAGTAATTATTAATAGTATAAATAGGTACTAAATATAAGTTTTTAATAGCTTATTATCTCTAAAGTAATAATTAAATAGAATAACTAAATTAAACTCTAGAATAATATCTATAAGTATATATTAATTATAAATAAAATAATTAGATATAACTACTATCTATAGTATAAATTATATATAATAGCTTAGTATAAGAATTAATCTAACTTATATCTATATATATAAACTATAGCTATAAACTATAATTTTAAAACTAATTAGAACTTATAGGATCTAATATACTAGCTACTATACTTATAAAAGAAATATTATATTTACTATATATAGAAATAAAAATAGAACTTAAATTTATCTAATAAAGAATAAAAAAATACTATAATAAAACTAGATTAGAAAAACTAATTTTAAAGAAGAGAGATAAGATCTATCTACTCTATAAAAATATTATAATAATAAGACTAAGTAATAAATTAGATTATAAAAAACTTAAACTATTTAAAATTCTTAAGAAAAAATTAAATACTAACTATAAACTCTTATTACTAAATACTATATATATCTACCTAGTTTTTTATATCTTATTACTTAAGAAAGTACTAAAGAATATACTAGACTAGGATTATCTAATTAAGATCTATAAAGAAAAATTTAAACTAGAAAAAATTCTAAAGAAAGAAATTAGAAATAGATAAATATTTTATTTAGTAAAATAAAAAAACTATAATAAGAATAATAATATATAGAAACCTATTAAATATCTAAAGAGCTATTACTAATTTATTTAGTAGTTCTATTAATAGGAAAAAAAAAGAATTAGAAAACTCTAGTAGAATTAAAGTCTAGTTAATAATTCCTATAGTATCTAGAGATTATACTATATCTATAGCCTACTATTTCTCTAAAATAAACTCCTCCTAAGAATAAACTCTATTCTATTTATCTAGATCCCTAATACCCTAATAAAATAAATACTAGGATTTCTCCTATACTACCTAATACTAATAATAAAGATATAAAATCTTTATTAAAGCCTTCTAAAGTACTATCTCAGAGAAAACTAATTTAATATCTAACTAATACTTCTCTATAACTAATTATTTTACTATAGAAGTTAGTAATACTATATATATAAACTAAGGAAAGATATATATTATAATACTACTTTTATACTATTATATAACTATTCTATATATATATACTTACTATAGTATAATAATATTTTAACTATATAATATATCTTTTTATACCTAAAGTAGTTTAAATAAGATATTATTTTAATATCTATCTTCTTAATTAATAATATAAGGATTCTATATTATTAGGATTTCTTAAAAATAGATTATAATATTATTAATAATTTAGAAAGAATAATTAAAGAATAAAGAAATTACTTACTAAATATTAAGCTATAAAACTTAATCTTAGAATAAAATTAATAGGAGGAGAGTAATATATTATAAATAAAGAAATACCCCTAGTATTATATATTATACCCCTACTTTTTTATACTAATAAGAAAAGAATTACTCTAGATTACTAATAAATCTTTATAATCTTTATTTTAACTTACTCTAGATTACTAGTAAGCTTTTATAAGCTACCTAGTATATATATATATTTATTTTATTAGATAGAATACTCTCTTAGATAGTTATTAATATAATTATCTATATATCTATTATTACTAGCTCTATAATACTTATATATTAATAGTAACTTATATTATACAGCCTAAAGATAATCTGATTATACTACTCAGAATAATACCCTGATTAGTTTAACCCTGACCTATCCTAGACCCTGTCCAGTGTAAGTCATCCAACTGTTATAATAGAAATATTATTTTTATTATTCTTTATAATATAGTTAGCTAGTATCTTTCTTATAGAGTATAGAAATAATCTTCCCTTTAGGAAATAAATAAGTAAGCCGCAGGTATTAATATTTTATTAGGCTACTTATAATCTCGTTAATAGAGGCCGGGAACGATAAGTCGCTGGCAGTTTCAGCCGCTATTTAACTCCGCAGCTATGCCTGGTTAACAGGTGCTGGCTACCAGCTGAAGCATTCCAGAGAAACGCCCCACTTCGCCCCGGTGTTAAATCGAGGCCAGTAATATCCGTCTATATACATAACCTCATTTTTAACCTGTTGGAGATTCGTCCTACTCCTCCTTGTTCTGTTACCAGTAGTGCTCTTTTCTTTTCCACTGCTCCCGGATCGTAATGTTGTGTTCGTTTGTACGTTCTATCAGCGGTTTTCTACCATATCATCGCATCCGCATACCTCTAGGCTACCCCAGCAATCAGCTTAGCCTATTTGTTTCATCGTATGAGAGCTCCTGCACTAGATCTCGCAGACTTAGTCGAGTGTCGAAGGTTCACCACGCCTTCTCCACCGGAATAGGGCGACAGGAGGCAAGTCTGTCTGGAGCTGTAGTATTGTATAGCATCGAATCGCGGCATGCCGGATGTCTGGTGCCTAGTCTGTGTGCAGGAGATGATGCTGTTCTATCCGAGAGCTCGTCGTTACGGGACGCACACAGAATAGGCTAGCACACAGGATGGGCTGTCCTACTATAGGCCAGCCTATACAATAGGCCAGCTTATAATAGGCCAGCCCGCAAAGAGCTATGTGAGGAATTGATATCGTAATGGCTTATCAATGAACAATGTAATATAAGATCAATTAATAATATAGGTCTGGTCTAGTTACAAGACGTAGCACAAAGAGAAAAAGGAGAGGGACGAGATCTATCCGCCCCTGGCTCAGGGGAATATCCAGTAACACATGCTAGCGCAGGCGCACGTGATACCCTTTACGCGTATTATGCCGATACGTGATCACGTGAGTTCGTGACAGGCTGGTACATACCGTGCTGTCCCACCGGAAGGGCTGATTCCCTGTTATAGCGCCAGTTTTTAGGTCGCTCCGGAGCACAGGAGCCAAAAAATGGGCTGCAAGAGATTAGGCCTTAGAAGAGCCCATTCGGCATACCGTAGCCTAGTACCTATCGATTGAACATGGGCGTTGTCCCTAACACTATTTACCAAGATTCCGCAGTGCCCTTTTTGCTAGCTTATCAGCCTCTGTATTCTGCTCCCGACGCACATGCCAGAACAAGACTTCAACCCCCATTCCATCTGCAGATCTTGGAACACCGATGAATTTTCTAGCGGTTTTCCCTTTGAGTTTCCGAAATTCATTTTATTTTATTTTTCCCTTTTTAACCAGTTTTTACATATACGCGCCATGATTACGATACGCTCTCTTAATAATTATGTCAAAAGTCCTTGTACATTGTAGCCCTCATCAAATATCTCCTCGCCTAAGAGTGGGGGAGGAGATAATCTTGCTTGGTCAATCAGAGATGCTACAGCGTATTCATCATTTAAAATCGAGAAAGACCAATTCGAATCATGTAGCGACTCGCGCTCCATGCCCAATTTGAATAACTCAAGTTTACCCAACTGGCCTGGACCGCAGTGGAACCACCTGGGTGGCAGTGCAGGCTTCGTAATGAGGCTTCGCCGGTCTCCTGCATGCTTCCATGGACCATGCCTACCTGAGCCAGCCACCCGCCAACTGAGCAATACGTTCTTGGCATGCCGAATTGGGGATTAAAGTGCCTCAACCCAACCGAGTTGTGGGCGGAATCAAGCCGTTGGCTCCATCGAGGGAGCAGGGATCAACGCCCAATCTCAATTTTCACCATCGACGTCAGTCGACTTCCGCTTAAAGAACCTGCCCTTCTTTCGGAGGGGCTTATTCTTTCCCAAACGAGAAACATAAACCGGAGGCCAGACTGGTTGTATACATTGGACCGGAGACGTTAGTATGCATATAACCTCGATCGCCCACCAGCTAGCTACCTTGTTCAATAAAAACGTGCTTCAATCATACTACACGCCTTTATCCTTTTCCTCAAAATGAGCTACTACTCCCAGAACTCGCCATACCAGCCGCCGTACCAAGCAGATCATCCTCCTCAACAGGCCACGCAAAACGACGACTTTGCGCCGCCCACAGGCCCTCCTCCTGGTTGGCATCAGTTCAATGACCCAAATCCAAACATTCCCTCTACGAGTAGCTACTTCAGCGCTGCCAGTCCCCATCAACGCCCTAATTCTAGCCACTATCCCTCTGGAAACCACAATGATGTCCCCCAGCCTCAGAACAGCAACGACTACAGCACGAGCAACCATGGACATCTGGCTCCCCGCAGCATGAATGTCCACCCACAGCAACAACAAGAACAAGAACAACATCCATTCTCATCACACAGTCGGCCCAATTCACGACCTTCGTCAGTGTCCATGATTTTCCCGCCCAGCATGTACGCGTGGTGGAATTCCGACTCCAAGCTAGGCACCTTCATCGAGCTAGGCCTAGAACCCAAAGGCGAGGCCCTCTTCTCCGCCAAACTCAGCATGTCGAGTGGGAAAGTTACCCTCCGACGCGAGAAATTCAAGCACAATGGCCAGCAACTCGCCGAAGCCAAGCTCAAGAACACGCTGAGCTCCAAGTACATCATCAAGCTGCCAAGCGGGCTGGAGGTCGAGTACGGCTCCAGCTTCCACTTTATGTACAAGGGCCAGCGCGAGGAATGGAAGTGGGGGACCGGCGGAGGGAAATCTTTTACTGGCAAGATCACAGAGAAGCTGACGGGGAAGATGACGGGCAAGGAGAAGAGTTATCAGCTGACGGGGCAGACGAGCGGTACTATGGCTGCCGTCTTTATCGGCGAGGGCCACAGTTTTAATGATATTTCCGCGACGTTGGATAAGAACAAGTTTGGGCGCTTTGAGTTTCAGGGGCCGGTGCTTTCGGGTGAGCTGGGGAATGACTTTGCGACGGTGGCCCTGGTTGCGTTTGCCAAGTTGAAGCAACGGGAGGTGGAAAACCGGCTTCTCGACGCAGTCTTTGAGATGGGAGGATGAAGACAGCCTTATTCTTTTCCCCCCTCAACTATTTTATTGTTGACTTAAGAGAGATCGTGCCTTGGCCTTGTGCTAGAAAGTAATATCCAGAGGTTGATGTGTATTTCATCGTAACGAGCCTAGGGGCTATTGACACTGCTTTTACCAAAGCTGTCTCTTTAATTGTCTTATAATTCTCTGTGCCGAACAGGTGCGTATTACAGGTATCAAGAGCGCTGCTACCTAAAAATCTATCTTTGGTGTAAATATTTTGAACGTTTCATGAGGCATTCACTGGAATGCCATGTGATCCTTGTCACAAATTCACAATAGATATTCTTCAACAGCAACGGATGTTCTTATATGATGTTGAGATTGTATAGGGTAGCTAGAGTAGTGAAAAATTAGCATGGGCAGTGCTTGTAGTTACCTAGATATGTACCATGCATGCATCATCCTTCGCTCCCCTGCCGACCACCAGATCGAGCTGGATGACAACACTGCGCTGGCCCAACTTCAGAGCGGGTTCGATGCAAACCCAGAGCTCCAAAAGCTCCGAGATGTGGCTCCGAGATGTGGCTGCCGACATGGATGGCGCTAGAATTGGGCTTCGCGTCGGGCACTCGCTGGCGGAGGTCGGGAACAGCATCGCCTCTTGCACGGCGAAGGTAAAGTGACCGCGCGGGAGCTTGACCTTGAGCTCAAAGTCATCAGCTAATGGTGCATGAGCTGGATGGTCAGGCTTTAATCTGAGCCGGTCGACTGTTGTTTATATCGTTCAATAGCTATCACAAACTTAAAACAATAAATCTCACTCAAACAAACTTCACACAATGAAAATCACTCAACACAAAATTCACTCAATGAAATTTGCATAATGTCACGAGCTTATAAAAGGATAGAAAACTTACACTGGTGGATCTTGCCGCCGACTCCTTCCTCGCCGTAGCTTTTCAACGGGAACAGCAAAGTGAAACCCGTGCAAGGATCCGTATGCAAATCCGCATACTGGATCAGCTTGGAACCGATATCCGAATCCGGACAGAAGTCTCTGCCACTGATCAAAGGGCCATCCTATGGCCCGAGGAACAGGCAGTAGGACTTGCTGAATGGCTTTCGGACTGGTTCCATATTTTCGGAGAGGGGTGGGGGGGCTTGAGAAGGTAACCGAAATGTTTTGCCGCGAGGTAAAAACAAAGCACCAGAGTCGTTAGACTCTGGCTAAGGTCCCTAATAAAAAGTTTTTTAGTCCAGACCAGTAAAATTTTGCAATTCTTTTTGTCTTGGGTATAGGTCGTTAAACCAAATCCTCAACAGGGCAGATTCACAATACCATAGACGCGGGATTACCTACCCAACTTTCAACTCTAGACAGCCGCTTCAGAGGCCGGTATACATATTCCACGCGCTAGAACCCCGAGCAAACTGGAATCTTCTTGGAACCCTAGAAGCAAGTCTAGGACGAGCAACAGAACCGAACTCCGACGAGCACGGTAGCGGGAACGTTGGAAAAACCAGGATGGATCGAAGAACGTCTCGATGTGTCAACTGGTCCGGTTGCAACAAAAGATATATGCTCCCTCTGAAATCTATCGAAAAGAATACTGCATAGGCAAAAACGAGTCTGGTCATAGAGGGATGATGGACTCGTTGGTGGTGGAGAAAAAAGAGAAGGAGGGGGAGGGGGAGGGGGAGGGCATATACCAACATGAGGCGCACGGACCATGCACTGGTAAACAATGCCGAGCTATTTCACCTGGGTCAGTTTGCTGTGAGAGCAACCTGAACACACTCTCAGTTTGCTAGGGCGACCCCTTTGCAGTGATGTCACTCATTTTCTTACCTAGTAAACAATAATAATAAAATACAAAAATATTCTATGATAATTAGTATAATAACGTCTGAATTAATATGTTCATTGTTTTGATATTGTGTGAAGATTTCATGCTAGAGGTTTCAAGTATGCCATGTTTCGTGACAGTCTTGTTCGCAGACTGCACTGTGTGGGACTGGCCACAAGGAAGCTGAAGTTGACCTGGATGTCTATCTAGCAGGTGTTGATTAAATCAACGAACTAAGATGAATTGAATCAAGCGAGTGGCCATGACGGACTTTTCAGAAGCTAGGATTCCCGTTATGCAGAAGAGTCAGTGATCTTGGCCGTGCAGCCAGTCCTGATACGTGGCGTTCGACGTGAGCCAATATCCTGTGCTGCGCGCGTCAGTATGTGCCTCGCGTCATCGCGATTAGATTGACATCTACTGTAGTTCCCAAGGTCAATTAGATATACAGGTCATAACTGCAGCTGCTCGTTATCGCGATTGACAGCTGATTCATAAACTCATTTATAGACAGGTCATACCTGGTGCTACTACGGCATGTCGCTGTGACTCGTCAATTCATGTTTTTGGCCGCGACGGCCTTTTAATGACTGTAGCTATGACTGTACCTACGGCTTGCCGCGTTTGATAGAATTTACTTGAATACTATATAGAATCTTAAAACTTGTTCGCTTTCGCCAGTTGGTTGGTCAAAAACTGACCAACTGGCACTACCGTCCTCGTCAGAGGTCGGTTCTCCCTTTTTTCTTTTGCCGAGGCCTAGGCACCCACGGTTCGATTCCCCGTGGAGTGATATTTTTTTATTTATTTTCCTCGCCAACCTGGTGATACACGCGTTTGGGTTCCAGCCGCCGCATTGTTCCGCCACCACCGCCAGACATGGAAAACATGAGGGCCGAGGCTCTTGGAGATACACGCTTCAGGACAATTGTGTTAAATTATCAAATTGTAAACCAATGAGTAGCTTTATCATTCTAGAGTGACGGCCTCACGTTCGGGTAGCTAGGATTGGGACTGACGAAGCCGCCAGCAGCCGTCAGCCAGTCTGTGTGTGTCGGGCGCGTGACGTCTGTAGCTACGCGTCATCACGATTGACAGCTGATTCATAACATTGAAGGTACCTAGGCACGCAGGTCGTGACTAGAGCAACGCGTCATCGTGATTTACAGCTAATCGGAAAGGTGATTCAAATATATAGGTTATACAGAAGAGAAAGAGAATAGAGTTTAATAATAATAAAGCTGCCAGGGCCTAATAACTTAATATAATAAATACAAAAGCTTAAAAATATAGCCTTTCCTAGTCCGCCTAAGATACAGTTATATAGCAGGAAAATTCTATAAACCTTCGTACAGATAACTCACTTATCATCGGGACAGCAGCTCGTCGAATAACTATTAAAGCTATCTCTTTCACCTGGCTTCTTATCTTATATCACGCCAATCCACACACTCCAACCAAGCGGGAATCTTTTCAGCAACCAACCCAGTGAGTACCACTAGCCCCTTGGCCAGAGCACTTACGCTGACACATCTGCAGCCTTCAACACATACGACATCAAACATATAGGTTATAACGCGAGTTATTGATACAGCTTGCCACGGTTGCTTGTCAAATCATATGTGCACGTTTGTGGTCGTGATGGCCTTTTTGTGACTGTAGCTGTGACTGTAGCTACGACTTACCGCGATTGATAGAATTCTAGTTGATTGCCCTATAGAGTGTTTTAGTTTGTCGACAGTCGCCAGTGTTCAGCCTGGCCTCATGGCCTTGCCAGTTTCGTTTCGTTAGAAGTTGGTTCTGCTGATTCTACTATCGATACATGTATCTTTTTTGCCGATGCATAAGCACCCAGGGCTCGATTCCGCATGAACTGACGCTTTTCTCTCTCTCTCTCTTTTTCTTGCAAGCCCAGTGATACTCGCATTGAGGTTTCTGGCCGCCACAATGGTCCCAGCACCGCTAGATATAACATGGGGGTTGATGCTTTTGAAGATACACGCTTTAGGGATATTTTTTTCTATTTGCCAAAGGCACTTCGCCTTGTCAATTTACAAGATTGTTATTCAATCATTGGCCTTCTCATTCGAAAGTGGCAGTTTCACGCCCAGATAAGTTGGTACGACACCGAACGAAGCCGTCGGCAACTGTCAGCGGTTTGTGGTGGCCACCGGCTTGGAATACGTACGAAAATGCGTACCTAATCCTTAGCACACGAGAAGAAGCGCTAGTAAATCTGAACAATGCAAATCCTCTTTCGTAGTTGCATCCGCTACCATACTTGCCCTGCCGCCTAGTTGTTCTGAGCTTTGAACATTTGTGACGACCGGGCAAGCTTGATCGAGTGCTGGTTATTGCCCAGTACGTTTCATTCATGATTATATTTACCTTTAACTCCAAGTCGCGATTCGGCCTGCTGTCTAATGATGACGATGGCATGGCAGCGATTCCACTTGGCCGGTCCAGTCGCGTCGAGTTGACAATGCGCGGCATTAGATTAAAACAACGCGTGACAATTTAGAATCAGCCCCCCACGATTCTCAGCATCAAGAATGATCCCAATCAAACAACAGGTAAACCATTCCAAATGAGAAAGGTGACGTTGTCGGCCCCTGCCATGTCTACCAATTGATATTCTACTGACAGTACCTACTCATTAGATGAAACCTACCTTGCCTATCTTACCTACCTTGCCTATCTTACCTACCTTGCCTATCTTACCTACCTTGCCTATCTTACCTACCTTGCCTATCTTACCTACCTTGCCTATCTTACCTACCTCACCTACCTTACCTACCTCACCTACCTTACCTACCTTTGATCCGAATCGAAGAGCCATGAAACTATTCCACCAGCATCGAACACAACCCCGAGTGCCAATCAGTTCTATCGAAGCGATATCGAAACACCCGTCTACGGTTTAGAGATACGCACTCCCTTCAAGAAGGATCCACTTTTGGAGACCTCTTATTGTTATTAAGTAGGCCAAGGTTTTCCAGATACCCATGCGCCAAGCAGCCTTGAATTCTCCAGCAGCTCATCCGTACATTCACACGTCCTCGAGGTAGAACCAAGCTTGTGACGAGCGGAATGCGTGGCCTCACAACGATGAGAAAGAGGGGAGAGACTTTGGATTTGGCGATCTCCGCCTCGACTTAGCGAGAGAAGACCTCACTGGCTCTTGTTCAGCCTGGACATGAAGGTAAGTGATAAACCCGGTGCAGAAATGCTGGCTTGGAACTGGTGAGTTCGAAACTGATGCATTTGGTTAAGGTTCCTACCAACCATGAATTTTGCAAGGCCCTAGACGAACATGGACCAGCAACAAACTGCGCCGACACCCCACGACTCGCTCAGACCGATACTTACATCTCAGTTTTGGCGAACCTGGTGCGAGGTACCAATCACAGAATGACAAGTCTACTACTACAAGCTAGGTCGCGATACAGCCCAACACACCATGCCAACGATATCAACACTAATGTGTACGAACAATTTGATAGCAGCCCACCCACGGTCGATTTGCGATCCACCCGCCTCTACAACCGAACAGGCCCGAAGCCACCAAAGGACAGCTAGACCACAATGCACGAGAGATGATCGAGGACTGAAGGCCTGGAGAGCAAGGGTTTTTACATTGTCACTGGACCAGAGCAAGACGACAAGGCTCTACGCGGTTTCATTGGATTCAAGTGGATGATGTTCCCATCCCCTGCATCTCTTAAACGACGCATACCAGTGGCAATGGGGGAGATGGTGCCAGTTTCTTCGGGACCTCGAGTCACTCCAATACATCAGATATGCCTACCTACCTACATACGACATACATAATGCAAGGTCCTGCAGACTGACTCACAAGTTGTTACCCGCTCACGCGAGATAGTACTAGGTAATTCACGAGTCAACTACCTGCACCAAGAAAGTTACCTACCTATTCACCCAACCCACATACCATGCGCCAACGGATGCGCGGTGGTGGCAACGCCAACTCATATCATGTACCATCCACACTCTGCTTGCCTTCAAGGTTGTCATTGAAATTAAGTTAGGCAAGTGTGCATTTGAGCCAACTCTTTCATGACTCCCGCTAACCACGTACAGTACCAACCCACTTCAATCCAAACACTTTGTGACGAACGTTCCCTCCGCCCCATCGATCCCAAATGCGCACAACCATGACCGACCGCAACGCGCCAACGACTGGCATCCGACTTCCTTGCCAATCGAACTCTCGCGTCCGCCTCATCGTTGCAGATCCACCCAATGCGTCCCGCCTGACGACCGACACAGTGTTATTTTGCTGAACCTCGAGTCCCCTTTTTCTTAATCGCACCGTGTTCTGTCTGCCTCAGGGAAAAAGGGTACGTACCGTCAATCCAATGACCAATGGAATACCATATTGGGAAGACAACCAGTTTCGAGAAAGGAACGAACCCCTTCTTCGCCCAAAAGAGCCAATTTGCCTGATAAGAAGAGGGAATTTGGGCCAATCGCATCAATCGCCATGGGAAAACGTGCCCAATTTCCGATTTGGGTACTGGTAGCGATCGTGGGAGATCTGGACGTGGGGTGGGTGATTGCAGGTGGCTTTGGGGTCCTGGACTTGTACATAAGAGCGAAGAGTCGTACCAATTTACCATGAACTTGTCTGATCTGGATTGTGTATTCTGGACTGTCTATTCTGGAATGCCTACATCGTCTCCCAGCTGTTTTCTGTTGGTTTGCCTACCTGCCTGCCAGCAACTTGTCCCTCTCTCCTCTGCCGTTTGTCTTGCCCGTCTCGATAAACTGCCTGCTTCCGAGTCTCCAAGGTTGCGCTACCGATTCTCTTGAGTCGGCTGTTTCCTTCCTAGTTGAAGACCATAACTGAGCTCTCACGCTGGTCTCGTCAGAGGCTGGTACTTTTGCTTCTTGCTTGAATTTATTCTTGCAAGACAAAACGAGACTCGGTTCGTCTAAGACTAGGTTGAAACCCCCTTTGCCTACATCTTCAGGAACCTCGCTGGATTCGTATGAGTCTGGAACTATTGTTCGTTTTATACGTAGCATTTCCTCGAAGATGAACGGCACCATGGAGACTCCCGTCACCACCCCTGGCGCACTCGCCGAGAAGATTGACCACCATTGGGTCGAGCACACCGTCGCAGGACACAAGTACAGCACCCTCAAGTCGTCTGCGTTCGCCCGCAACCATCAGGCCCAGATTACCGCTGCTGTAAACGACTGCAATGCCCATGCTCAGGAAGGCCTCCGACTTCAGCTGGAACTCCTCGACGCCATTGAAGACCAGTAAGTGCGCTTACACGATTCAATGGCCATGGCTAACACTGTCGCAGAGAATGGCTGCTGCTTCCCAACGACATTGACCGAGTTGTCCACCATCAGTTGGCCTGCAACGATGACATCTCGCTCGCCGTCTCATTCCGTCGCTCTGATATCCTCACCAGCCTCAAGGCCCGTCAAGATGCCGCCAAACTGTCCATGCAATCGTCGCGCAAGCGTCAGAGCAGCCCGACACCATCCGCCAACAACAAGAGGCCCCGTATCGCCAGCTCTTCTGCCGACAGCCAAGACGAATCAGACTAGGAGTCTGACAGTGTCCAAAGCTGCATCGTCATCCAGGAAGACGCAGAGACGCCCGTCCCCGAGAGTCCCTTCATCGCAGAGACACCCTCGCCCTCGCCCGCGCCCGCGCCCGAAGACGATCCTGACCTAGTCGCGACCATCAACATGCGCTGGCAAGAGTACCTCAGTGTGCGCCAGACCCTCGACGAAGCCAACAACGCCGCCTTCCAGACCGCGTCGCTCAGGGCCCAAGCATCCGAATATGCGAAGAGGCTCAAGGAGATTGCCACCGATGCTCTGATCCAGCAGCATTTTCTCCTTGCCCAGCTTCGCAATGTGTAAGTCAATTGAAGCTTGTCGCATAGTACCAAGCTAACAAGTCACCAGCGCGGATCCTCGGAGTGATGCTCTGGACGCCATGAAGCTCAGATTCTCCGGCTCCGACTTGCCAGAGTTTGAGGCTGAAATTGCTCGTTTCGGTCATGTCGACCCTTTGTCTGTGTTTCGTCCAAGGCTCTTGCGACATCAAAACCCAAGGTCAAGAAGCCCAAGGCTCGCCCAGCGAATCAGTCCAGCATCAAGTCGTTCTTCGCCCCTAAGGCTGGACCATCTCAAGTCGTGCCCACTCCCCTGCCAACCACCAAGCGACCAAGCAAGACGACTGTCATTGAGCCTTCGCCCGCCCCTCGTCGATCCACTCATCTCAGCAATCAGACACCCAAGACCGTCGTTCAGGATGTTGTTGCTACCGGTGGCGATGAGAAGTGGTCACTCTATTAGTCTTCAGATGATGAGGCCTCTGAGGATGACGCCTTCGGCCAGAAGCTCCAGCTTGAGATTGAAGCTGAATCTGATCGTGACGCGGAAGGTCAGGTAGCTCCTGAGCCTACTGTTCATCAGGATGGATCGTCCGTTCCCTTATCGACACTGACGAAGACGTCGACCCACGCAGTCATATCAATCTCGAGGGCTCGAATGTCGAGATCCACTCTGAGTGGACGAACTTTGAGCGGACGAACTTTACATGTCATGTTCGATTTCCCTGTACTTATGGTGCCCATCCTGCGTGAGATTCACTGCCGCGTGCCTCTCCATCATACATACTGGAGAGTTAACCCGTCAATAGGGAATATCATCTTGGGGCGGAGTACAGGATGATATCATTGAACCCATACCACCTGTCTCTGCATTCGACATGCATCTTCAGCCCATCGACCTCTGGACAAATGGAGACAACGCCCCGATCGAGAGTCACGAATGCGCTCATTGCGACGAGGTCTTCACAAACGTCGGTCTCTTCTTGTCTCACTGCCAGCAAGTTCACGACCACTGGGAATGGAGTCCGCTACCAGGGGACGAAAACTCGGAACCAGGCCGAGATTACGATGCCCAATGGGGTGAGCGACTATGATGCCCATTTTGTGCTGCAAGGTTCGAGAAGTTTCTACCTCTTGAATCGCGTATCAAGAGTTTACACAAGCCCAAAATTTTTTTCGAGCATCATTGTGACTTTGCTAGGTGTGGTCTCGGATTCAAGACTGAAGATGATCTTACTATGCATTGGCACCTCAAGTGGCCGTCAACAAAACAGGGACTATGGAGCCACCTCGACAGAATTATGTAGCAGTTATACAATAATGCTCACTATTGTTTTATAATAGCTCATCCTTTTTATGTGTATTGTAGTTAATAACTACTCAACAAGTTATTTTTGTACACTATTATCAATTATTGTTATGCTTATACAATTCAGCGCTACACTCGATCCAATGTAAATCTCGTGGCTGCGGAGACATCTTTGCTTCTGAGAAGGAACTCCGCGACCATGAAAAGGGCAAACACCCAGAACGATGGGCCTGTTCCTCCTGCCAAAAGGTGTTAGACTGAAGATTACCTCAATAGCACATAGAGTTACCACATGTGACGCTAGAGCGTGCTTTGACAACAACCTTTTTTTTTCCACAGTAGCCTTACCAGTTAGAATTATTTTGGGCTGAAGGTCTTATAGGTTCTGTGTAGGCGGATGAAGTTGGAACAGAAAGGCTCTAGGGTCCGGCCATGTCATATTCGGCAGGCCATGCTGCCACCCGCCCTTTTCTTTCGCCTGGTGGATTGGGTCTCGGAGTGGGGGGGCCGGATGAGAATAGTACGTCTTTACTCGCTATCTACGTGCTCAAGCCTATGACCTAACTGTAGGCAGCTTCCATCTTCTCACCAACGAGGCACGGCGCCCGAATGTTGCACACAATACTCAGGTCCCGACGTCGGCCGTGCTAACCATCTAAAACCGCGGATTTTTAGGGTCATACTCGATCATTCCCCGGACCAGCCACCTTATGTCACCCATCCGAGGGTCCATGATGCAGCCATAATGAGAACACTCGTTGATGATTGGAAACTCCATCATCCACTCTTGCAACAAATGCTCCTTGACCCCCACCCTTGGCCTTACACTTGAGACATCAGCCCTTTGACCGAAACACAGGCCGTTTTCATCCTTCTTCTCGATCCCTACAGGCGAAACAGTTTCTGCGCCGGCGGCGTGGAGCAGCCACTTTTCATGGAGCATAGTCATGCGCAGATTTGAATCTTTCAGCCAAGGCTCTGCACCTAGAAGCGAAGCTCGAGCGTCGTCTGGATGAGACGGCATGATTCGCCTTCCCGAACAGCAGCCAGACTTGTGAGTGTCGTGATTTGTTTGCACGATGAAACGATCAGAAGTCTTCAACTTGCCCCCATACACATCCTTCTCGATCACTGCAGCGTTTACGCCGTCACTGAGCGTGAGATAACATGGCGAAGTGGGCTGCTTGGTCAGTTGCGTTGCCAGAGTTATTATTGGCGACGAGGCACTGTCGCTTGCCGATGTTTCGTGAAGCGCCCAACCTCCCTCTCTGAGGATCACGGAGCGGAGGACAGAGGCCACAGATGGGCGGAAGCCGAACAAAACCAGCAACTGGTGTTTCCGGACGGCTATGCTCGAACATGAATGCTCATTTGATGGCCGGTAGTTGAGTGAAACGGACAACCCAGGTCTGTGGGGATGTCAGCACAGCAACTCTCGTCGGTGTAAATAACTCACCTCGTGGCTGTCAAAGTACCCAGAAAGCCAGCATAAGTAATCGACGTGGCAATAACTCGATGGGGGTCGTCCCTGGAGTCTACAAACTCCACAACAATGAGTAGATGCCTGAGAGGATCCATCGCCCAATCTAACGTCCGGAAATGCATTAAACAACTGGTGGCCTCCGTCGGCCGCTGGCTGTTGGGCTCTGTCAAGATGCAGCCTGCCGTGCAACCCATCATCACGTCGAGAAGGATATTCAGAGCGATGAGGAGGTAATTTTCCATGCCAACTAGCTTGGCGACGCTTTTGACTTCGCGGTCTTGCTCGTCATCATGGAGTCTGCAGAGGAACAACTTGGCGCATGTCTTGACGAGCCAGCAGACGATGGGATACCTGAAAATGGAGTCCAGCAGGTCGTTGAAGACCGTCGTCATGTCGCGCATTCGCGGCGCAAAATCGCGGGCGATTTCGACATAGCGCTCTTCTGGTGGGAGGGCGATGTCGACGCGATAAGTAGGGATTGGACCCCCAGCAAGAGACATGGAGTGAGCGGCTCAGAGAGGTATGAGGTGTTTATGGCATCGATGTAGCGTGGCGGAATGAGGTTGAAAGAACAGTCTCTATGAAAGGATTGACCAATCAGTCCCACAAAATTCTCAAAACAAGAGATTCGTCTCTTGTAGGTTGTGGCGGGTCTCTCGGAATTCCCACGGACCTCCGAGCATATGGCATCGGAAATTATCGATGTCTGGATACTCTGAGAAATCAAGTTGAGAGCTAAAACCTAGACGTGGCAATACCCAGCACAGGCGTTATAACATAATCAATCTAATCTAGAGCTCTATGATGCTTGGTTCAAGATGAGCTATGTTTGGCAACACTTGTTAGGTGTCCCCCATGGTGCATCTGTTAGTTCGTCCCTCCTCAGCTTAGCACTTTATCTTACATGGAGAACTAGCTCTATTTCTGATTTTAACGCAGGACCTGAGCCTTCATGCAACAAAGCTTGTTAAATAGCATAAAATTACGACGCAACCCCAAGAGACAAAGGATCTTGATGGGAATGGCCAAGTAGCTGCCACTGATTTGGCCAGGGGTTCCGAGTATCACAAAACTAACAACAAAAAGTAGAGAGGATAGATAACACACTAATGTCTCCAAGACATGAGACTTGTTGTTCATTTTAAGCCGAAGACGCACTCGACTTGTCGCAATCCTAGTCGTGAGCCTGCATTGCTGGACGACGTTCGGTAGTGAAAGAGCTGAGATAACACTTGAGGGAATCATGATTGAGCTAACGCTGCACGTTGTCCTGAAACACTGTTAATCATTTTTAACTCCTGGGCGTAGCAATTAGGTAATATGTGCGTAAGGTGGGTTTACCCAGTCGTTGAACCATGAATCACTTAGTCTAGGGGTGGCTTAAAGCAAAATTAGTGCATTGCGAAACTTGAAATCCACCTACCCTCTTTGACTGTTGAATCGCCAATGGATACCTATGTCTGGGGCCTGGAAGCCACAGATGAAAGTTTTTGTAGCGATAAGTATCGAAGACAAAAAGTCTAACTATCTTTTTATAATAATAATAATATCAATTTATCCTATCTGGGATAGGGGGTATCTAGATACAGGCTAAATCTATATAATTAAGATATATAAAATTATATAGTAACTTATCTAGTAAAAACCTTACCTGCTTTATAATATCCAGCAGGCTGGGACTAAAAACCTTTTACTATTATTAGAAACTATAAATATCCTATAGGACCCTGGATATAGTAGTATCAGTATATAGGAAATACTTTAAGCTAAGCTAGGCCTGTATAATAGTCCAAGAGCTAAAGGGTTCCTAATTTATAAGTTATACCAGCCTGGATTTAAACTAGGGATCTTATTAAGCAGGCTTATACTCTAATAGTTCGAATGTCGGTGGAGGATGCTGTTTCTCCAAAGGCCTATGACCGCCGCGAGTTGATGCTCATTTATAGTCCATTGCTGCCCCTTTTGGTAAGATAAGAAATGAATGGGGAGGGCCAGGGTCCCAAGCGTATGGTATGCTCCTTCTATGGGACGCATACTATCCTGCAAAACATGGTATTGGCAGACGGCAGACCATACGAGAGCCTCAGTTCCTTTCCAGCCACTTTGGAGCGGGGCCTTGCCAAATATATAGCCCAGAGAATTCTGCAGGGCATTCTGCAACCGCCTTGCCACGGCTTGCAGCTCTGGGTCCCATGGTATACCTGAGGGCTGGCACTCGTCTCCGCTGAGCTGGCCAAGCCGCGCTCTGATATTTACGATACGAGCGGCGGGATTCAGGTCAAAGTCGGGAAGCACCTTGTAGGGATCGAAAACATGCAAAGGCTGAAAGTCAAGCTTGACGCACTTTGGATTGCCTTCCAATATTCGAATGAACTCGGCAGCACTTTTGGAGCAGCGCGTGTCGTTTTGACGACCGCCACGCGCGCTGGGACGAAAGCCGACAACGCCACTTCCAACGTCCCCTTTGGACAGTGATACCTCCACCGCGGATGATGCGAGGAGCATATCCTGCGCCGCTTTGGACAAAGGGGATCCCTTGAGTCCCCTGTCAAGATGCGAGTTCATCAAGTCGAAGTAGTCGTGGCGCGCAAGAGGTTCAACCGATTCTAAAGCAACATGGTGATCAGAAACTGCCAAAGTATTTTCGCCCCGCCTTGATAGTACTGACCAGCATTCTTCAATAGATAATCGTCGCCTACGATAGACAACGCTTGCCAGTCAAGTTCGTCGCTCTCGGACCACCGGTGGAAGCTCTCCAGACGGTTTTTCTTCCGCTCAAGGCGTCTGCTGCGAAGCCCTGCGCGAACCCCGGCCATGATCAGGGTGCAGGCTAATTGGTAGAGGATGATAGAACCGTGCAGACCACGGAAGCCCATAAATTGGCATGCAAACCCCAGGAGTGACGATACAATGGCGGCCCACAGGACAAAGCGAGGCGGCAATCCGAAGATGGGGAGCGAGTCCGGCTTATGGATGAAGGACGTCATGTACTGCTTCTTCTCCTCCGAGTAGGCGAAAGAACGGAATTGCTGATCGCCTACCCTTTGGTCGCCGCACTGGAGCCAGAAGATGCGCGGCTTTGCCTCGCCGGGCCTATCATGCCTCTTGAAGCGTCTTTCGGTAGACCGGCGCTCAACGAGGCGGGCACACAGGCTCATACCACACATGAGAGAGAATGTTCCCATCATGCCGAGGATGAAGGACCAAAGATGGGGCGCGTCGTCCTCGGTGTAGAAACTGGGGTTGTAAAAGGTCGCCCAAGTCGCGTACACAAAGAAACTCGCCTCGAGGAGCAGCCCGACAGCGGCAAAAAACAGCAAAGCTTCCGTACGCGTTCGACGGGTTCCTACGTTCAGTGAGAGGTTCGGGAATGGAGCGAAACCCTGACCGACTGGCCGTCCTGTCTCTCTCCAGTGACGCGTGGAGTGCAAAGGCGATGGGTGTTCTTATGGCAAGGACCCAAACGACATCGACGTGCTCGAGATGCGCTTTAGTGCTTTGCTTCACTGGAGTAAGTGTGTTCACTTCTAACGACGAGAGCACCACAGAATACAGAGCTAAATTTGACGAATATAGCCCTTTACAAGGACCGCGATTTTGGGTTATAGTCCGAGGTTGCCAAAGTCGGACACTGTGACCCAATCCCTGGCGATGAAGTTGAGTGTAACTTGGGTCTCGGTTCAAGCACCTTTTGGAGCAAGTTCCATTGCTATTTGGCATCGACAGTTGATGATGTTAATGACGAGGCTACGTCTTAAGTCTAGCATGGAGGTAGGTAGCTAGTTCCAGGGAAGCGGCTGTTCGATCACTTTTGGTATGTTGAATCTAGAAGGTCTAGGCGGAAGGTGTGGAGATGTTTCTGATCGTTTTTTTTTCTTCTCAGAACTGGCACTCATCATGGGCGCAAAGCTCCACGGCCTCCGTGTTGCGGTCTGGGGTGAGGCTCCGGAGACGCCAGAGGAGCGCAAGGTTTGCCCAATGCTTTACTCATGGAGTGGCGGCTCGACTGACATTATGGGTCAGCTCCTACGGAAAATTGATTTCTTCATTCTAGTATCTCCCCATATTTTCCAACGCCCCTGAAGACGAAGACACTGACAGTCTTGCGGACGTATTGCTGCGTCGCTTTTTTCTTCAATTACCTCGGTACGTCTACAGCCCCCTCTGCTAGCTCTGACTAAGCTAACAGACATTGCATAGACCGCGCTGTGCTCGGGAACGCCTACGTCTCTGGGATGAAGGAGGACGTCAATCTCACAGGCAATCAGTACAACATTTTGGTCACTTGTCTTTCCGTCGGCTGTAAGTGAAGGCATCCTCAGACCCAAACATCGTTGAAGCTGAACGAAAGTAGACATTATCGGACAGGTCCCTCACGGACTTGTGATCCAGAAAGTCGCTCCCAGGATCTGGTTTCCGCTGATGACGGTGGTCTGGGCGCTCCTGACCATGGCATGCGCCGCAACTAAAAGTTTCTGCCTGGCCATCAAACTAGGCGCCAGCCTCCCGGAACTCCCCTCAGTGCACGTCAGCCTCGGAGCCCTCTCCTGGTCCTGCATACTCAAGACCCGAAGTTCCTCTGTCGAGGAATACGCCAGAAGCGGAACAGCCAAACTTCTCGCCCCCGTCAACTGGCGGCCCCGCGCGTTCGCGGACCAGACGGAGGGGTTCTATGGGAATGGCGCCCTGAATGTCATCTGCGAGATGCCGGCTTCGACCATCCGACAGGCTGCGTCAGACTTTTACGTTCTCGGACAGATAACGACTGGGCTCGACGAATCATTCTCCCACGTCGACGAGGAATTTGTGACCAAGCGGCTTAAGCTGTTCAAGGCAGCTGATCCAAAGGGGACGTATATCAATATGGACTTTAACGACGAGGCGCAGATTGCATTCAACACGTGGCGATACTTTGTCGCGGATACAGTATGGGGATTACCTGGGCTGGACGTGACTGACAGCAGCGGGAAGCCGACATGTGTGAGGAAGTTTCAGAAGGGGAGTGTTGATGGGGCGCTTTTGGTGTTGCCTTCGAGAAGGGACTCAGGGGAGGTGCAACTTATGGTGTCGTCAAGGAGTGGGGTTGTGGAAGGGCTTTGTAGGGAAAGGGAGTGGATGAGGTGGGTTAATCGGGTTATTGGTTAATTGGAGAGGGAGGCGGGATGAGTTTGGTATTGGGACTCGGGCTCGGACTCGACTACCAGGAACGGCGGCAATGGCGCATGAATAGACTTGGTTTGCTTTGGTCGCCATTGCAGCGTGAGCTTGTTTCTCATCGATCCAGAATGGGTTCTTTTCCCTCTTCTCAGGATCTAGCAGGAAGTCACGAAAGGAGAGGTGGAGCAGCCTCACAGGGGACTCTGCCGATGGTGGGATGCTCAGGACCGAATGTAGCAGTGCCTCCTAGTGTCTAGCGTTTCGTGCTCAGCGCCTGGCATTCTGGATTGTGCCCCTGCCCCGCGTTTGGCATTGCCGGGCTCCGAAATGGGTGGTGAGGTTGCCCCGGCCGAATGATGTTAGCCGCCTGTCCCGACTATGGTATCGGTTTCGTCAATTATCCATTTAGTACCACTAATCAAATATTACATTACCGACGAGGTTAGATCAGATAGGCCCCGATAATGCTGGGTTCGCCTGCCTATAAACTTAAATTACTTCAATATCTTTACGTAGTTAGTTGGGTCATGCGTGGTACCACACCTAGCTAGAGAGAGGACGGGGTTTAGCCGTACACCGACACCAGGGGTGGTGACGGACGGCAGCTAAATTTTCGGCAGATGATAGGAGCCGATCCGTTCTGAAAAATCCGGTTAACGCCTGTTTAAAGCGCCACTCTTTAGATGAATGTCGCCTGCGTATATAGCTACGAACCCCTTGATGACCTCTGGCTCCGTCAACCCAGCGTCCACTCCACTCAGCCAACCTCGCCTTCCATAAGCTGTTTCCAGTCACTCATTCCTCGCACTCCCAGTCGTATCCAAATTTGAGCTCCTGATCCTGAGGAAGCAGCTGAGGGGTGGAAGTCTGGTTTGGCCTCTGGATAGTGTTGATTAGAACCATCATTTGGCTCTTCGTGTATTAATAAATGGAATGGGAATAAGCTTGTAGGGCCGTTGATGGTCGTATAAAGTGGGAGGTAAATGCCACCGGACTGTAGTGAGGCATGGCTGAGAAGTGGTTTGTTGTCCCCCCAAACTTCCGCCTGAAAAATATCAGTTAATATCGTATCACTTATTCATTGTAACAATATCTCACACCAAACCAAATATCTTATCCTAACATATCGAGGACGAAAAGGCTTTAAAACAACTAGGGACTGCAAGAGTTAAGTTAAGCTTCCTAGCTTTCCCCTATTCGGAACAATAACAAGAAATAAATAAAACTAAGATCGATCGTCTTAAGAGACTATTTCGTATCGAGGGTAGGTGCAGGCCCGACGAACTTGCTAATCGCATACCTGCCATCATCGATGAGGCACAGTGGCAGCAATGCCTCGGCGAATTGGCGATACCGATACAGATCATGAGCTGGAGAATTCCAGCATAACGCATGCTATGATAGATTTCCCTTCTGGATTCCGCTTAGATGCCTTCGCGGGCGACATAGAGTAGAAGCCGCGAAACAGGTTCTTCTCGACCGCGACCAGTGGTGGACCGTGGACTTCTAGCACGGCGCTCGAATCGATTCCCACCGTGAGAAGCTCTGAAAGAATGGCCTCTTGCGTGCCCGACGTCTCGGTGAGGATCTGCCGCACCAGGATGGCGCGATGCGCTGCATCCCCCCAGCTGGGCGCCTCGGGCAGATAGTCCCCGACGGTCAATGTCCAGCTTGCCGTCTGCAACGGCGATGCCGGCCAGCATCCCCACGATCGACTTCGTCACGGAAAAGATCTGCACGGGTATGTTGTCGGTGAGTGCGTCAACGCGGCCAACGAGACAGTTGTTTCGAAAGATATGTACCGCGAAACGGCCGTGAAGATTAGCGTACGCCAGAGCCGCCGCAACCTCGTCGGCTGACAGCCCGACTTCTTCTGGGGTTGCAGTTGCGAAGGGTTTGTCGCCAAGAGGGAGGTTGCACTGGCGAAGGGGCGCTTGCAGCGCTGCCGACAGGCTGACGCTGACGAGCGCCAGAAGCCATACCGCCAGCAGTGTAATTAATCTCTTTGCTGAGGCGTACATGCTGGTACTTCTATGGAGGCGGCGGTGAAAAGAGGCTCAACTAATGGTCAAAACTAGCATTCTGAGATCCCCGGGCACCGTTCTATATAGAGGTACCGATCCTGTAAGGGAGTGCCGAGGAAGCGCATCTCAATTTGCGGGGTAACAAATGACGGTTCTCTGTAGCACAGCAACTAGCACTAAAGCTGCTTAGCTCTACTCAAGCATGGCCTATCGGGGGACGGCCAATGATGCAGGGGCAACCTTCTCTTGCTAGCCACACTGAAGTCGTGGGGCTCGGCAATACTGGCGACGCGTCGGGATCTGCACTGTTGTGGTGGACTGTAACCAACGCCCGTCCCACTGGCGCGCCGCAGCAATCCTTCGCCGCTTAAACTGCGGCGAGCTGAGCCGTCTTAGTCAGCATCTGAAGCTTGCACGTGAGAGACTCAATTTTCTAATAATACCGCAACCAAGAAGTGTTCCAAGAGACATAGACCACCAACACCCTGAAGCCTAGTCCTCTAAGATTTTTAGACTCGAGTATATCAGCATGTACGACCTTGTCGTAGTTGGTCATGGCATTGCCGGCCTCGCCGCCGCAGTATCAGCTGCAGAACTCTCGCCCTCGGCGCAGATAGCCGTGCTAGAGCATGCACCAGAGCATGCGAGCGGTGGAAACTCACGCTGGAGCCCTGCCAACATGCGAATGCCATCTGTCAATGAGGTATTACCAGGCTTCGTGGACGACATGGTGGCTGCAAGCGGAAGTGGTGGCGACCGCGCGTATTTCGAAAGGCTGGCTAGCCAGGCCCCTGAAGCCCTCCAATGGCTCGAAAAGCAGGGTGTGCAGTTTCACGCCATGGACTATTTCTTGAAATCTTGGCCTAACAGGATCCAGCCTATTGGCAAAGGTGCTGCCATTGTCGAAGCCCTCAAGCAATCAGCCAAATCGAAGGGTGTCCAACTGGTGTATAATTGCCGTGCCCAGCGACTTCATCTTGGCCGAGGACAGGCCATAGTTGAGGCAGCTGATGGGCGACGAATCATTTCCCGGTCTGTTGTGCTCGCCAGTGGTGGGTTTCAAGGCAGTCCAGACATGCTGCGTACTCATCTTGGTCCTGGTGCGGAGACGTTGAGACCGATATCACCTGGGACGGCCTGGAACGCCGGCGACGGCATCCAGATGGCGCTGGCCAACGGAGCCAAGGCCTCTGGCGATTGGAACGGAATGCACAGCGAAGTAATCGACCCACGGAGCAGTCAGCCAGCGCCACTGGTCCTCAATTACCCGTACGGGGTTGTGGTGAATCAGGAGGGAAAGCGGTTCGTAGATGAAGGTGCTGGACTCGTGCATGACACGTGGGAGCATCTTTCCAGAACCATACATTTTGACACACCGGGCCGCTTAGCCTGGGCAATTTGTGATTCCAGATTTTTTCAATTGGAGGACCATGAGGCAGCTATCCGCTCCGATAAGCCGCCGGTGACAGCGGACACGATTTCTGGTCTGGCGGCACAGATGGGGGTGCCGGAACAAGCGCTTCTGAACACAATCTTAAACTACAATGCAGCCTGTAACGCAAACATGTCTGGCTTTACGGCGGGCCGGCTTGATAATCTCGCCACTACCTCAGGCTTGCAACCATCGAAATCGAACTGGGCTAGGCCGCTCGACGCTCCGCCGTATACCGCATTCCCCTTAGCCGCGGCCATTGTCTACACTTTCGGCGGCATTGCGACTGATGTGGAAGCGCGCGTTCTTGGCCAGAGAGGCATCATTCCTAATCTATATGCTGCAGGTGAGATTACTGGCCATTTCTACGACAAGGCTCCAAATGCAGTGGCCGTTATGCGGGCACTCGTCTTTGGACGTATTGCTGGCCTCAATGCCATAAGCTCCCATTAGACAGAGAGAAGTGTACCGTCTCCCTGGAGACTGGGTCTTTTATATCTAATACTATCCTCAAGCTGGTTGGATGATGGATATAGCGAACCCCCGAAATGGTTGGTCTAAAGGTGCGCATTTATGACTTTTCACCCTTGAATAATGCGCTTGCATTTATTTGAATTAGCTGCCCTGGCCCAATTCAGCCTCCCTGCGGCTCAGTCGACTGCCTCTAGTCTATAGCATTACCGAAGTTAAAGGAAGGGTTAATTACTTTACCCAGTGCAGTTAATAATGCTCAAACGGTGAACTACATATCTTGCTACTTCTTGCCTTTATTGTAATAGCCTGCTTCATATTCGTTTTATTATCTTTATTTAAATTCACTGAATAATAGCTATCGTACATATGCAGCGTACGCAGGACAGTCAATTGTTTCCTTCTTATCCATTTATACGATCCCCGCCTTCAATCTCGCTATCGTGCTATTGTTCCTCCTAGCGGTCCAGTTTCTCCCACCCTACAACATATATGGGAGATCAAGGGCGTATATAGACTCACTGATCTACATCAACATGGTGTAAGCTACCCTCCCCTTTTTACTTACTGATGTCGATATCAGGCTACGGCCCAGGGCAGCCTTCCCTCAACCCTCTTGGGGTATAGTTCTTCTCCAGCCTAGAAGGACTGGAGGTGGTGACATCAGGCAATCGACTGTTTCCATAGGAAGGCAGGCAACAAAGAGAAAGCACAGTCCATTTACTCGTAGCATCGGCCTCTACGACCAGTTCCATGGCACCAATGTCCAATTCTGGGACTACAGGCCCAAATTCTGGGCTACTTACCCTATTTCTGCCACTCAGTGTCGGGTCCGACATAGATCTGCTGCACATCCCAGCCGGTTCCTCGGGTTACACGTAAGCTGGTCGGTGATAGCTTTGTTCGACAGTACATTCTAGGCCCAAAAGTATATATAAGGAATAGCCTGAAATAGGGATAATTATAATTATTCTTATTACTTAATAATATAGTTTATTATACTTGGCTCTTAGAGACTAAAACTAGACCTAGGGTATTAATTTTAGCTCTATATTTCCAGATATTAGAATAATACTATAGAGATATAATATTTTTAGATATTATATAGTATAATTAAGTTTATTTAGCCTAATAACTCTGATTAAAGCTAATATTACTAGAGACTATTATTTTAAATTATTATATATTCTATCTTATTTTACTTACTTAAAAGTTAAATTACTATATAAAAGCTCTAAAGCTCTTTTCTACTTTAATAGAGGAATAGAAATATTTTCTAGATAGAGAGATCTAATTATTATTTCTATCTTTTCCTATTATTAGATACTTTATCTATCTATATAAATATCTATAATAGAAACTAAGTTATTACTAGAAGAGCTTATTCTTAATCCTTTAATAATCTACTTATAATCTTCTAATCTTCTAAACTAGCTTTACTCTTCTTATTTCTAATTATATAGTATCTCTATATATTTTTTAACTATCTCCTATATTTCTTTAAAGCTAATAGAATCTCTAAATAATTAATTATTATAGATTTTTAATATTTATAGAAACTATAGAATATAATACTAAGTATTTATAAACTTTATAAAGCTAGTACTAACTATTTCTACTATAAATAGCTCTCTAAAGAGATCTACTAGTTATAATCTTTATCCTAGGTTAAGTATAATATTAAACTTAGATATAACTTTAGTAAAAAGTACTTATTTAAAATATCTATAGTAGTTAAAATATATAAGATCTTCTTTTAAGATACTATACTTATTAATAATATTAATAATATAAAATCTTAGCTTTCTATTATAGTAGTAGATTTTATTCTTATTTTCTATATATCTAATATAAAATAATATCTACTATAGCTTACTAATTTAAAGCTCTTATATATCTTCTATATCCTAGTATTCTCTAATAATAATAAAGTTAATAGTATTACTAAAGCTTAGAATATAATCTTTCTTAAGTTTAATAAAGAATTTACTCTCCTTAGATAAGGGGTAAGAATTATTATAATCCTTTAATACTAATCCTTCCTACTATTCTATAATAGTTTAAAAGAATATTTTACTAAGCTATTTAGCTATATTAAAAGAGGAGAATTTAAGTACTTTATAGAATCTAATATTAGCTCAGTCTAGAATAGAGTAAACTAGAGATTAAAATACTTATTACTACTTATTATAGCTCTCTCTAATATAGATAGTATTATTTAATAATAGAATATTATAGAATATAATTATAAGATATTTATTTAAATTAATAGGTAAATCTTAAGTAGTTCTAAGAAATTATCTAGATTAATTTATATATTTATAGATTTTATAGAGAGATTAAATTTTTCTATTATTATTATTCTATACTAGTAGCTTACCTTCTAATATATACTACTTCTTAATTTAGTAGCTTATAGTATTAAGCTTAAGGCTATTCTATAGAATATAATAAATCCCTATATAGTTATTAATTAAGTTCTTTCTACTTTTAGAGAATATCTTAATATAGGCTCTAGATATACTAATATTAATATAGATCTAGTAGTATTCTCTATTATACTTCTACTTTATATTTATCTATCTTAAACTAGATAATTAGTAGTAATATCTAATACTTCTTACTTTAATATAGATTAGTTATATAGTTATTATACTAAACTTTAGTTTAAGCTCTCTACTAGTAGTTTTTCTTAATTTATAGTAAATATTTACTACTAGCTAGATAGATATATATTTAATAGTAGATCTATTTAGAAATATTATAATAGCTAGAATAGTATTTTAGAAATAAAAGAGATTAGATAAGAGAAAATAGAATTTACTTATTATTAGTTATTCTAAAATATAAATTAAACTATAAGTTTTTAATATTATTTAAATTATCTATTTAGCTTTAGAACTATATAGAACTTAGAATACTTTTAAAAGTAAATAATTTATATAAGCTAATTAATTATATTTCTTTTTAACTCTTTATTATAAACTAGTTAATAAGAATAATAATAAGATTATAATCTAATTAAGGATATTATTAAGCTCTTCTAGAGTTAGCTCTAAACTAGCTCTAGATTTACTATCTATTATAGTTATTA